TTATATGGGTTGGAACAAACTTAAGAGCTTGATATATTGTTTCCTCTCTTACATTTTGTCAAAAATTTTGTTTTGATTGGTTGCTTTGAATTCGTTATATATAGCACAAATAGATGATTCAAATTTCAAATATGCTTTATAATGTATTCTATGAGTGGTTTGATCAAGTTCTACAAAGAAGACTTGCTTTATTGATCAAACATCATTTTTAGGTTAAATCTTGATTTATGATTTCATTTGAGTGATTTGTTTTTACTTGAAAACTTTTTTCATGATTCTCATGTTTTTCTTTCTTTTGATTTCATAAATCTATTTTATACATGGTTCTTATGTTAGTGTAATGAGACACTATCTTCGTAATGACATATCTATATGTGTTCTCTTTGTCCTCTTGTATGTGAGTAATATTTAGCATATTTTTCATTTATGCTTGCTCACATGTTTGCCTTAGCATTCATTTCATGTATCCTATGAGGCATTTTGATAGGGGGAGCAATCCCTATATTTGTTTTATACCCACCCATGCTTATTTGTAGGGGGAGCTTTCGCTCTCTTTATTCTTTTATTTTCCCCTTTTTGATGTTGTCAAAGGGGGGGAAATATTGTGAGTATATCTTGTTTTGGTTATATGCATGATAATTCTAATTTACATATTAACTTCCTTTCATGCATATATCCTTTTTGTAAATTATTTGTCATCATTAAAAAGGGGGAGATTGTTAGCCTCTTTGTTTTGATGATGTTTAATAAATAATTTATCACTAATATTATTTATCTAGTATTTGTGTTTATTTATTTATTATAGACAAACAACAAGTTGGAGGATGGATGGAATTGCGCATTCATGATCATATCCAATGGAGGTTGGCAGAATTGTGGAGTGAAGCTTATACAATTCAAATTGAAGATCCAAGTTCTAGCTTCATCTGCAAGTATACCAAGTTGAGCTACATCGAAGATCAATCAAGCTTGGGTATATTTAGTTTAGGTTTTATATTATGTGTGTTAGTACTTTAAGCTCAATCATATATACACACACATATTTGATTTTTATATATATAGTTATATATATACATAAGTTTTGGTTTATGGAATTAACAATTATTGTATACATATTTCATTAAGTCTATAAAATTATTTCATAGGGTTTCAAAACATTGTTTATGTCAAAACATCAAATTTCGTGTATATCACATTTTCATGTTTTGGACACACTTGTAAAATACATGAGTTTTCACAAATGGGAAATTTAATTTGGGAAATTCTTTTTCTAATATGTTCAATTTCATATTTATAAATGTCTCACAAAGTTTTATCAATTTTGGAATTAATTTGTTATAATTATTTGAATTTACAAAATCAAGTTTTTAATAAGCTCATGTTCGTGCACATGTTCGTGCATGTTTTTGCAAAACAAATACGTTTTCACAATTGGGAAATGTGATTTGAAAATTTTCTTTGTTTATATGTTTATCATCATATATACAAATATTTTCCCAAGTTTTACTAATTTTGGAGTTGTTTTGTTATTTTCAATTGAATTTACAAAACCGAGTTTTTAGCAGTTTTTTTAGAAACTGTATATTTGTGTTCAAATATTTATTTCTCTCAACTGGAAAGTGATATTTTAGATAATCTTTATCTAACATGTTTATCTACATGTCTAAAACATTTCTTTAAAATTTCATGATTTTTGGAGTTGATTTACTATTTTTAATTGATTTTACAAAGTCAGATACACAAAATTCTAGAATATGTTAAAATCAGAAACTGTCCGTGAACAGTGCGGTTGACCGCTACAGTCGACCGGGCTACAGTGCGATCGACCGCCACGGTTGACTGTCTGCAGTCCAGAGAGCAGTTTTGCAGTTTTTATTGTAGAGAACAATCTCTTTGTATCGTGCCTAATTGTGAGATTCACTTTGTAATACACTAGTACACCAAGAGGAGTGTGTGGTGAGAGACGAGATTGCTTCCAAGAGGAGTGGTGTCGGTTGACGAACCTAGGGAGAGGTTGTATCCGAGCACTTGAGGAAGGACACAGAGAAACCAACACTTAGAGGGTGTGGAGTGTAGTTACATTGTGAGATTGTGATCGTTGATCGGTGAGCGTTGAAAACCGATATTGTGTAGTGTAAACATTATTCGGGTTAGCGTACAAAACCCGGTTGTGATAGTGGATTTCTCCCCGGGAGTGAGGAGCGGAGACGTAGGACGGAAGGTCCGAACTCCGTGATCATATTGTGTGTTTACATTATTTATATTACCCTATCACAATTGTATCTTTAGTTTAGATTGTTTACCCTTGTGTTGTTTATATATCCTTGCATATATTTTACCATATAGGATATATCTCTTTGTTCATATTGTATATTCTTGCTCATAAGATATTGTATATCTATCTTGCAAGAATAATTTATTAATTAGTTTTAATTGGCATAAAATCGGATTAGATTAGCCTAAGACCCTAATCACCCCCCTCTAGGGTCTAACAATGTGGCTCTTTTTTGTTACTATGATGATTCGAGCTTGTTTAGCTCTATGTTGTTGGGTTTTTAGTTGCTATTTGTGCTTGTCGTCGAGTTCCCGTGTTTGTTTTTTGTTACTATGCTGATTCCAGCTTGTTTAGCTCTATGTTGTTGGGTTTTTGGTTGCTGTTTGTGCTTGTCGTCGAGCTCCCGTGGCTGTTTTTTGTTACTATGCTGAGGAGATCTGAAATCCTATTGCTTATGATCATTTTCAGTTTGCCAGAAAGTTTTGATTACTTGTGAATAAACTGATAAGTGTGTGGGATTTTTTTTAAGATGCAGTTGTGAAATCCCTGTGAAATTTTTCCTCTTACCTGGCCATTAAAGCGAACATTTGCAGTTTTTGTGCACTGTTTATGTTCAGCCCCTTGGTATTTTCTTTGTGTTCAGGTTTGTGAGACTGTCTTGTGTTCAGGCAGTTTTGTGCTCAGTTTTGTGAGACTGTCTCATGTTCAGTGGGTGGCTAACAATGATGTAATATATTGCACTGGATGGCTATGATGATTGTCAAAATTTTTGAGATTAGCAACCTACAATATCTACTGATATTGCACTGGATGTCTAACAATAATGATATTGACCAGATTTTGACCCCCTCAGCCATTACGTACATGTTTGGTATTTTCAGGTTTGATACGATTTGCTATGGTATATACATATTTATGGCTAATCAAGGTGTTTATATATTTTTTTATAGGTTTCATAAGAACTTTTGGCTAATTCAGGTACATATTTCATAAAATTATGAATAATCAAGATATTACAGGTCTCGTTTATTTTTTCTTCGAAAACATGTTTCGTTTGATTTTTTTTTCATCTCAAACAGGTATATTTCAGGTCAAATCAGGTACACAATTCATAGCAATTGAATCATGTTATTCTAGGTTTCGTATGATTTTTTAAGGCAAACAGATATTTATAATGAATTCGGGTAATTTACTATTTGTTCATGTTACATTCCCACTTTTATTTTGTTAAGATTACTTCACATAATGATCACAAATAAATTTGTCTTTAGTGGGGGGTGGTAATCTTACCATGGTGACCATATCTTTAAAACCAACCAAACAAAAGAAAAGTGGGAAATGTCAAATCAACAAAAGTTTTTCCTTTGATTCCATACAAACCGAACACAAGAAAAGTCCATACATTGATTTCCTACCTTATTTTATGTGTGAACCAAACCAAAACAATCTATTTCTTAGAAAAGTTTGGAAAACTCAAAACTTGAGTTTCTCATAAGGATAAGAAATGACAATTTGCATATTTGATTAGTCGACTTTCTTTTATTTTTGAATTTTGAATTTTGAATTTTGAATTTTGAATTTTGAATTTTAAATTTTGAATTTTAAATTTTGAATTTTGAATTTTAAAATTTAGTTGAGTGATTTGAGGAATTGTTATTTTGTTTCTATTTATTATTGCACATTGTGTGCACGTAGTTTTTCTTTATAAATAAGGTTGTATGAGACTATTGAAAGATACACTACAACACCTGAAATCTACCATAGCGGTCGAAAAACGCTATGGTATTATTTCATAGCGTTTTAATCAACGCTGTGTCAGAACCCGCTATAGTAGGTCTGTGGTTTTACATAGCGTTTCCCCAAACGCTATCAAAAAGTTTCCAACCATAGCGTTTTTATGTAGCTATAAAAGAGTATTCAATAGCGTTTCTATATTGCTATGACAAATATCTTTCATAGCGGTTGAAAACGCTATTAGTTAGTTTCCAACCATAGCGTTTTTATGTAGCTATAAATGAGTATTCAATAGCGTTTCTATATTGCTATGACAAATATCTTTCATAGCGGTTGAAAAACGCTATTAGTTAGTTTTCATTCATAGCATTTTAACGTTGCTATTGTCTTACATTTGATAGCGTTTGAGTTACTACAATGGTGTTTCAGTGAATGTTGTCTTTCTTCTTTTAATAGCATTTCAGTAATTGTTTTCACTTCTTATAGCATTTCAGTTGTGCCTATAAACCTTTGAGGTTGAACTAGAAATAACATCCAATTGTGACAACCATAAAAGCAAATATTTCATTTAAAGATTCAAACTGATACATAACCAAGTTGTAGCATACAAGAAGAGTCAACACAAATGTGCCAAAAAACAAATACTAATCTTTGGATAGTCCAACATGGAGTACAAGAAATTAACCATAGTACACAGAACAACAGAAACCAAATTTGCTGCATTACATATGACTTGGGAGACTCATTATGTACATAGCCACATCGGCGAACATAAGCTTTCAGTGGTCCATCACCAGACATTACCACCATATCGCTCCTCTTTGCGATCAAGGCCTACAAAACCAAACTGCAGGTTAAGTTCAACTACAAAATATGGTCATATATATCAGATATTTCAAATAAAGTATTTAAAAATAAAGCTCTCACATGGAGTACAAGAAATTAACCATAGTACACAGAACAACAGAAACCAAATTTGCTGCATTACATATGACTTGGAAGACTCATCATCTTCAGCAATTGAGTACTTGTACTGCTGCAAAAAACAGAAATTAACAACACCACAATAATGAGATCCTAGAGCCATGAACATTATATGGACACAAAACATAAAACAACAACACCATTAATTAAAAATCACAAGCTTATATTAATTTCTTTAATAATTTTGTTTAAATTTGTTATTAATGAAAATAAGAAGACAATAATTTGTTCTTTATTAATTTCTGCATGAAAAACTGGCTTTAATGATAGCAAAGAGAGTCAATACCTTTATTTGAATGGTTAGGTTGCTCTTTCTGATCCATAGCTTTTCTTTATGGTCAGGGTGAAAGCGATTCACCTTCAGGGTCAGCATGCAGCTGGTACTCTCCAGGTAGCTGGTCTAATTTCCCTATATTGATATATAAGGCTTGAGCATTAATTTCTTGTGTGAATATTGGTGTAAACATAATTGATATAGCTGATTGCTAAATGTATAATACAAGGAGCAAATGTTGCTTACCTTGCTTATCACTGTCAAATGTCCATCAGTAGGATGTGATATTTCATTCTGACCACGTATAACAGTCTCATCCTACTCTTATGCTTCAAATTCACTTCAAAAATGGTATATCGTCTAGACCACAGTATCTTTTCCGAATCAAGGAAGTGAGAAACTTAGACCTACTCTAAATATTTACGAGCAAATACAATGGCAATCTATAGTAGAATAACTGCTACACTTAAAAGCGTCCCTTAAAGATGTACAATAAACTCTGGAGGACAGCTACTCAGACCATTATGCTTTATGCATAAGAAATTTGGGTGACTAGTAAACAACTTGCATACTGAATGAATGCATAACATGAGAATGTAGGGATTGATTATAACAAGGGGAAAATGAGGAAATCCAGTATACTGTCATTGGTTGTTTCAATTAACTAACAGGCATACGATGGAGCTCCCACTTGCATAAGGCTACAGCCTATCACCAAAATATTAATAATGATGAAAACAAAAGATAAACGATGAAATTTTGAGATAATCATGTCGACCAGGACCAACAGGTGCATAAAGAATAACTTACTATGAAGTAGGTAATAAAACCAGAAGTACAAAAAAAACTTGATCGGCTTAGTAAAATGGATTGTTGTCTATGATTCCAACACAGAAAATTGGCCTTAACAGTGCTGTTGGTTTTGGGTGTTCACGAGGAAGAGGAGAGGGAAAGGGAAGGAGGGACATGGAACTGACCTCACAAATTACGGCAGGGAGATCCAATAAATACATGATGTGCAGTGAAAGCGCATATGTGCTCGATACTCTCAAACTATAATTGACTTAGTTATGTACTTATATTCAATACCAAAGTGTGTGATATGGTATCAAATTGGAGATCTACATGTTACTAATTTCGAATAAAGAATAGACCTCTAACAGCACAGTAAAAGGTGGCAAATGAATGGTTCACCAACACAAAAAATAAAATCACGTTTTTGAAGTCCTCAAGAACACATGATTATATATGCAGATGTTTTAGGCCATGTAGCTTATTGTCAACAGGACAGGTTGTCCATTTGAACAAAACTCAAAGAAAAAATGCTCTCCTGTTTAATTTCTGAGTATATGAGCCAGAAAACTAAGCAATAAGATTACAGTCTGGATGAATAACAAAAACCAGAGGAAAACAACTTGATAGAAAACAGCCACTAATAAAAAAGATAAAGTATCAATTATAAACCTTAGCTACATAAATCAAGTTCCTGCGATATAGCTATGGTTGATTGTATGCAAACCAAGCCTATAGTTTTAGGCGCATGAGTCTCCAGCCAGCAACATGAATGTGAGCCTTAACGCAGAGTATGGCAAACCAGTGTAAGGGTAAAGCATAGAGAAGCTGAGAATCAGTATCACACAGAAAAGAGTATTTGGCAAAACAATGCTGGCATTTCTGAACACAACGAAGCATTTTTAAATGTAGTCACCAATTATGTTATAATTACCATGCCCCCCCCCACCCCCCCCCCCCCCCCCCCCCCCCCCCCCCCCCCCCCCCCCCCCCCCCCCCCCACCCCTTTTGGTATATTACATTCATAATGAAAACAGCTGAAGGACTGATCATACTGGCTATATCTAATTCATCTGTGATTTTATTTTATTACCGTTCGGACTGCTGCTCAAAATATTTTATCAGTTCAAATGTCCAAGGACAGAGTATGCTCAGAAGTAGTCTGTTCAAATGATTCTTATAATTTTAAGGAAACTTCAAGAGATCACGAATGAACATGGGGGAGAAGCTGATAGATATACCTGATATTTATCAATAGGTTACAAAGCACCATCTTAAGTTTAGCAGGCTTAGAGCTATTCTATAGACTAAAACCTTCACGCATTTCGGGTACAACAAAAGGAAGGGGGTAATTCAAGCATGATAATGACTTTAGATGAGACAGTAAGTTAAAGAAGCTGTAATCATACTTAGTGAATGTTACTAACGTCTCTTTACGCAACTAAAAGCAGCATATTTAGGCCTTCTATATTTTAAAGTATTGCATCACATTAATTTGTGAGTATCCATAAGGCTATTCTCTCCTGTTAATATTGTGGATAATGAAGACAGACGATTTTCTCTATATCCATTGCACAAGAAACAGAGTGACTATACATATGCCAGACTTTCAATTAACATCTGTACAGTAACAAAATGCCATGATACATATAAACCATAAATATGCCCACATAAATACATTTAAATGCTGTTCGAAGTATATCACGGAGCCATTGCACTTTATCTAGATTGTCCATCACAGTGCGTATCCTTTGGAATCATACATGTACAAAAAAAGTTGTGATACCCATTTCTACACTTTACTTGCAAGTCATAATTGCTCTAAACGATTCAAAAAAAACTAAAAATTGGGATTATATTGCAATAATTGTTGAAATTTTAGATGATCCCAAAACCTTCACGCGGTAATGACTGAATCGAATTGCTAGGGCTGCGTCAGGAAAGTGGCCTTTAATCCTCCGCCAATGTGTAACATATTACACCAAGGGAATGAGGGAACTCGCAGCCATAAAGTAATTCAGACCAGATGAGTGCATTAATAACTGCACAGAACACAAGCAGAGCATGGACTCCGATTATATATTGGTCCTGAGCAGAATAAAGAATACACAACATGGATGGCAGTTCCCATGCTGCACAAATACTTACATATATGGTTGAGTACAACAGAGGCGAAACTAAAAAGAGCCTAGTTCAAAAATGTAATACATTTTCAGCATACCACGGCTCTTTTAATTTTCACAAAAGGTATGCTTGAGGAGCCTTTCTTTTGACTTCAATGGCCACGACGCCAAATAAAAGAAACCTCGCGGAACAAAAACACAACTATGCCCAAATCATTGAAGCTTGCTAGCAGTTACGAATTTTACTTACTTCGATACTGATATTAAGGACTTAACCTGAATGGAGCACCACTGGAAAATACCAGAAAGGACCGAATGATAAATCATATCGTATCGAAATAAATCATGCCCTGTTTACATGCAAGCATACATATCATATCGAGTCAGTTCTATACATGAGCCTCTGCTACTAATTTTTATGTAGACAGACACATCTATTTTTCTATTTTGATAACATGAGTAAAAGTTACATGCACAAATCAACTAGTAGAATGATTGATCAGTAGTTTTGCATTCAACTGAACCAGAAACGAAGTCAATCATCTAGAATTTACCACAAAGTCTGAATAAGAAATAAAGTATAAGAGAAAAACATACCATTCTTCTCCCAGTCGATTCCACATCTTGCAGTGTACCATATCAAAAGAGAGGTATGGGAATGGCAAGTGTCTTGATGCAAATGAACCAACGATGGCAGGTAGACCTCTCTCAAGAGTAAGTTGAACTTGACTACCTGAGGGCTCGTAGTTTGCGATGCACATTGTTAGAAGCTGTTTTGAGAAAAGATGCGCTCCTAAGCTGCCGAAGCCACACCCAATATCTAACACAGTTATGGACTTATCTATTATATATGCTAATATATACAGGTGTATGGATCTGTGATTAACCAGAAAATGGACTCATCTTTGGAGACCATCTCATAGCCTTCAATGGCAGCTAACCTTCTGAAAATTTAATGAGTATGGATCTGTGATTAACCAGAAAATGTTTTCTACATTTTAACCCTTACTAGATGAACCATCGGGATAATAGTAATAATAATTTAATGAGTATGGATTCTAAATGGGTTTGAACTATAGAAGGACTTAAAGTGTAATTGATATTTCTTGACAAAACTCTAACTTCAAAGGATTATTCTCTTCAAATCAAGTGAAGGCAAATGGGAGGGACTAAATTTGAACAACCCATAAAATTCCAGGACTTAACATGAACTTCAAATATGTGAAGGACCACTTCAGAATATTAAAGATTTAAGGAACCAATATTGAAGAGACCCATAATAAAAACAAATCCTGAATAGGAACGAAGGAACATTAATAAAGCATTTAAAATTAAGGACAGAAAAATCGACAAATTAAATCCAGATATGTTGCTGTATGAAAAAAAAAAATGAAGTGAAACCAACAATTAATGAGATGGGTATTATTCACAAATTGAAAATTACCGATCTGGCTATGAAAGAGGATGGCGGAGGCGCGAAACTTGGGAATTTCTAGGTTTTGATCGCTTATGACAGGGAACAGGTGTTCGAAGATGAAGAAATCGAGGAAGGCGAAGGGAGTGATCGAGTTCAGCTCCCCATTCAATGCGGCCCTCACCTGCAGATCCACTCTGTAACAGGCATCGGGGCCGAAATCTACGAACCCGTCCTCTCCCTGCATGCATTGAAGAATCAAGAACTCGACTGATCAAGAAATCAAGAAAACCGACGGAATGATGAGGACCAGGAGTAACCTCGAGATCGGAGAGAGAGAGGAGAGAGGGAGAGTGGGGCGTCGTGGGTTTGGTAGCAGCGGAAATTTTTGGGGTTAGGGTTTTTTTCCTCGGAGCGGGACTAATGAAATTTGGGGCAGGAGACAAATGAAATTTCGGGGCGATCTGTTTTAATTTTTGGTCTCCCGCTTAAGTATTCAACGCGTCATAACAAAAAAATTTGCGATCCAAGTATTTATAGCGTTTAAAATTTTTCAAACGCTATCAAAAAATAAGACACATACTATCTATAACACTTACAATATAAACGCTATCATTCAACGCTATAAAAAAACAGTTTTGTTGTAGTGATAATGAATTATTGAATAAAGAAATATTTATTAGCTAATTTTTAGTGTGAAGCCTTGGGTGTGAAACCTTAGGCCTCGGGTGGGAAACCCTAGGCCAAATTGTTCTCCTCGGCCACAAACAGCCGACAAACCTTCTTTCTC